GTATTAACTAATCTAAATTATGGGTTATATAGTAACGGGTGCTAGCTTTATTGCATTGAATGGTGATTTAGAAGATGAGGTTAGTACCAGATGGCGCATAGTGGAAGACGGTGTCATGGTTAACATGTCATCACAAAAGATGGCATTGTTACGCGATGCTCTTCGTCTAATGAAAGACTTTGAACTAAATTGTGGAACCAATGATGAGCAAACAGTGATATTCCATTGGACAGAAGACGATGTTAATTTCAACATTGGGTGAGAAATTACAAATTTAATTTATTTATTCTTTATAGTATCAACAAAATATTTTGTTTGTTTAGAGTTAAGAGTTGTATTGATGGCAGACTATTAGATGGTGTATACTCAATTAGAGTGCATAACGGTGTTGATTATTCAGGAAAAAGACATTTTATTCGATGGACTGAAGTGTTTGTTATACAAGTATGTTACTCTATATGGCTTATAATTATTAATACCTTTAGTTTACCTTAAAACGGCTAAAATCCATCAAGAAATTTTGAAAGTGTTTCATAAATTTTCACTTCTAATATTTCCTGAATTTATAGGGTACTATAATAAAAACGTTCACTTTTATCCTTACCATTGAATTAACAATATAATAGTTACCAGATAAGTTTCTTTTATTTTAATTCAGTGTGAAGAAACGTCTGATCGTGTTGATGAGCCTTTGGACACTAGTAGAACAGCTGAATCTATATCCAAGGCGACATGTACTGCATTGGTTCCACTTTTAGATTTGTTATCTGCAGCTTCATTGACTCCACTGGCCTTACGAATTGTCATTAATCCTGATTCGGTAAATAATTTTTAATTTGTTTTTTTTTTTATAACTTCAATCATAGAAATAATATAGACATTAAATAATATAAAATTAAGATACCTCTAGAGTGTATATAACTGTAGGATGCTGAAAATAACTAATATATTTCAATTTGGAGTTAAAAATATTTTATTCAATTTAATTTGTGTTATTTACCAAATATTATAGGTAGGATATGAAGCTGGAAGTGGACAAAGTAAACTTCCCCCTTTATATATGCAAAGTTTGGACGAACATCTTGTCCCAGTAGTGAACGCAATAGCAGTTAAAGCCCAGCAGTCATCAGTAATATTGGAACTGGTGTTCAGAGTAATGGAACACTAGGTAGGTTATTCCATAGTGTGACCATATTTTACCCTTTTAAATATGTACTATTTTTGGTTAAATTTAACTTTATTTAATATTGTGTTGACTATATTTTGTTTACCAAATGTCCCAATACCTAATTATATTTATATATATATATGTATAATTTTTATTTTTGTATGGACCTCAAGAAATTCTGGAACAAGAGTAAATTACTAATTATATTTTAATTCATACAATGTTGATAAAATGGTGCATTTTATTAACACTGCAGATGTCAAAAGAATTTCTTGTAGTTTCCTTATTTTGTTGTGATGTGTACCTAAATCATGTTATGTTATCATTATAAATTCATATTATACTAAATAGTAAATAAGAATATTTAACTAAGAATGTTATACTAATTGTTATCAAAATGTATTTAATTATTAGAGTTTAAAATTTTTTTTATATTACTCATGCATTTTAATAGATTACTCAAACAAAATATATCAATAAATATGTATTATAATTTAGAATGTATTTTATACTAACAGTCCTTGAAGTAGATATCTTATATAAACTATTAATACATATTACACCGGGTGATTATTTTGTTGAAGAACACTCATTATTTCAAACTTAATATTTTAATAACATTTTTGAAAAAACTACTACCTAGCAGTGGCGCCGAAGATATATTTTTCAGGTGTAGCAAGAAAAAATTTTAACCACCCACCCACCCTCTCAAAACTCAAAATTATATTATTTAATACATTTTATCATATTTGCATTGATAATATTAGTAAATATTAAGGTATCAACCAATATAATCTGTGATTAATTATGAACATATTTCAAGTTTATTATTTTTTGTTATTATACCCATCCACCCCTTATTTTCAAGGTGTAGCGACCGCTACACTTAGAAATAGGGTTGGGCGCCCCTGCTACCTAGTACCTACATATTTTTATATTTTGAATAACAACATATTTTATTCCTTATTCCAAAAGAAAATATTTTTCAGACTACTTATATACATAAACCTAATTAGATACATTAATCGAATTTTGAACGAGTAGTTGTGTGTATTTAAAGTTTAGATACAAGATACATGTTATAACTAATTATCAACTACGTATTTGTCAAAAATGGGATTTTTATAATATGTTCAATGTTCAAATTCAAATACTCGGGAGTATAGGAGAATAATAATGACTTCTTCCTTTTTTTTTTAAATGAATAACGCTATTAGCACGAAATACGAATAAAGTCATTGAGATAAAATGTATCAGATAAATTAAGATAATATTGTTCTGTGATATCCATTGAACTATATGATATCATATAGTTATCATAGAGTTCAATGGTGATATCATAGAACAATATAAAAACGAAATTCGATCAGCTGATTGGGGTCTTGTTTACCCGTGATCTGAAGTCTGGACCTACGAAAAACATACAAACGTTTCCACGGACCAACATGATTCATGTTAGACCATTCGTATTATGAAAACGTTTACTTCATCAATCATCATAGGCGGGATACGCTAAGCGGGGAAGCTTGCTTACCATTCCCTATTTAGTAGTTCATATAATTATTATGCCTCGCCTCCTCTGGAATCCGTGGTTCCAAGCTACAATCGCCCATTACGGCCAATTCACTCTGTGGTTTCGTACCACGACTGCTGTGAGTACTGAATACTGAATAGGGCTCTTTAAAAAGTATTAACCCTTTAAAAGCCTTTATTAGAGCCTTACTACCACAGTACCACGATTTAAGATGGTCTTAAAAGTTAAAGTACTCTATGCTTATTGCTTACTAAGAGGGAGAGTGGAGACACAATCGACAGTCAGTGAGATATCGGCACACCGCGGAAACCGGAGTTGGCCACCCTGTATAGAACAAGTTCCAAGGAGGATGTAAAAACTAAAAGTCATGCTTAAATCTTAAATCGTGGTTGGCGGTTGCAGTATACAAAAAATTGACGCATCATTGTCGATCTGAGATACCTTTGTTTTTTTACCTACACGGGCACACGCCACACGGCTGACGGCTACTACTACTACAGTGCTACACACATCTTAACGTCCAATGTCCGTCGTGACCGCGGGTCTGTGCTTTCTAGGAGAGTTTTAATTATTATGATGTTCATTTATATTCCTCTACTATTCTGGGAAACGTAATAAGTGACCAGCTATTGATAGTGGTTTCTAGTCGCTACTGGTCATGTTTTAGTCGCGAGTGATCGAATTTCTTTATTTAGACTCAAAACCAATGTTTCTGTTTTTGTTTTAACTTTACGTCTTTATTTTAACATTTTCTGTGATCTCAACCGTCGCAGTGTTTATATGGTCGGCTTACCGAACGCAATTCACTGACTTCTGGCAACACATTTTGATTATATTTTTCTCAACGGCCCGCAGTTACTTACGTTTCACAACTAATCACCAAACTGGCCGTATACTGTTTATTTGTTGTATCTAAACAATCTGAAAACAATTGACGCACCTTAACAGATTTTAGTGATGCAAAATAAACGAAAATACAACAGTTATCCATTATTTATTTATTAAATTTATTGTTCAGATTATATTTGTGAAATATAAACTAATTATACTATGGTAAGCAAAATCATATATGAATTTAAGTATTTTAATATCTTCCCAGAAATGTATGAGTTACTGGTTACCAGTTACTATTGAGTTTAGTATAGGCTTATGGAATAAGCAAAAAAATCTCTCGTATTAAAGTTGTTATTTTGGATTTCGGTCTTATTACACAGAATTATATTGGACAGCTGACTAGTATTCAATATACTTCTTCAATTTAGTTTTAAATGCTTTTAACCATAACTCACCAAATTGAACAATGATATCATTATCTGCCAAGTGTATGTGTTATTAAGTATTTTATTTATTAGACGGAAGTACTACCAAGTACCAAATACTTATTGTTAAAGTAGCATAAGAATAAAATTATGATTGTTCTAATTAAATCATATTCTTATGTTTTTTAATTAGTTATAGATGGGTATATTTTAACGTTAGTTACCCTAAACCTCATAGGTAGTGTAGATTTGTAGGATACATTATGGATAAAATTAATATTATTCACATATTATGAGGCCTAGATATAAATTGATTTTATTTGTTGTATATATTTTGAATGTTTATAATCGAATTGCCAAACTGTTTTCTCTTATTTTTAAATAAGTACCTACTAGTATATTTATTTATTTTAAATTTAAATCTGGCATCGTTAATATAAATGTTACATTTTTCTTATTACATTAATTTAAATTACAAATAAAACATATAGGTACTTTTTAAATCTGAAGGTACTCAGGTTATTGTGATTACCATGATATCAAAATGTATGCTTTACCACAATAGGTATCTTTAATTGTGTTCTGTACTATTCTGTTCTCATAGGAATGATTGAAATGGGGGGGGGAGGAATATTTATTGCTGTGGTATTTAAAAGAATCTTCTTTTAATTGGCAGTAAATTATTCTAATCTGTGGAATAATTAATTGTCAATAGAAAACCATAGGGGTGTTTCCAACTTAAAAAACTGTACTTTATTTGATATTATAGTAGTTGGCACAAGTCATGATAATCCGTGATAATCCAGATGTGCAACAACAAAAATGTAACTTATTCCTGGCACCTAAAATCTGATTTTTGGTTGTTGCGATAACCTGGGTAATACTTAGCTAATTATTTTAATTTAATTACTAATGTAGGTACATACTACATATATTAATAAAGTATCTACTTTATAATAACTTATGTACCTAATGTTAGTGGTAAAAAATGATTAAACTACTTTTTATTTTATTTTAGAATTGAAATTTATGATTTAATATGTCAGTAATCATAAAATCTGAACCTATTAGTGGAGTAGTGGAGTTGTCATCGGATGATGAAGAAACAGTATCAACACTATCAACCATTAATAATGGAATTCCTAACCACGGACCTACTGGACGCTCTTCAACACCAGATACACAATGTTCAATCTGTCTTGATGATTTAACCAATAAATGTCATACAAATTCATGTTGGCATTTATTCTGTTTTCAGTGTTTGCGACGATGGTCTAATGTAAGTTTAAGTGATCCTTAATAATTATTAATTATTAAAGGTATGTATATTATATTGTTTCAAAAATGTCTTAAATTAAAATTAACTAGATATTTACAGTTTCTGTTGGAATACATACCATTTTTTTTTATCGTTTTTACTATAATAGTTTAAAAAGTAAGAAGACTGAACTTAATTTAACCTCCCGAAAATTTTATATTTGTAGTCTGGAGTCTTTATTTAGTACAATTGAAAAAAAATCTAATCAAATATATTATTTTATTTACTGGTTGCGGATAATATAAGAATGAATGTAATTAGGAACTTGTTGAAAAGTTTCATACTTATAAGTTATAAGTCTTGATCACAACACTGATATGTTTTTATATGCATATTATTTAGTCTGAACCAACTTGTCCATTATGTAAGAAATCGTTCGGTTTTATTTATCATTCATTTGGTGATCATGGCGTCCATGAAACATATGATGTTCCTTCAACGGCCAGAATGCTGACGTAAGAAACACATTATATTAAAATATTGATATAATATTATAATGTTTATATTTGCAATGTTTTTGTAGACCAAGACTATACATACGGCCATTGAGTGAAATGTCAGATGATGTAAACAGGTGAAGTACTATTACTATTACTCGTAATTATTAATTATTATATATTAAATTTGGATTGTAAAGTATCAATAATTTTTATTATTTACATTATATTTCAAAATATATCAATATACTTATAAAAATACCTGTACTCTTTCAGAATTAGAGTAGCCCAGGGAACTGGTCACACGTCGAGTTTACACATGTACCCCATATATCTGCATGTTCTCCACCCATCATTTATGCATTCACGAAACTAGTGTGCTTTTATTCTGAATAGAGTATAGATGCAAATTATATTGTAGTTATAATAATATTAGTGAGCATATTATATAAATGAACCTAATCACCCTTTTACCTGCTTAAGAAAATCAATGTGTTTGACCAATATGATTCAATGTTTAATGTGTAGAAAAAATGTATTTATAACGAGAAATTATTATATTAGTGTTATTTATTGTTATGTATAGTTTACCAAAGGTGGATTCATCACACTTGAATGCCTCTAAAGTAATTGCTGTATTACAACAAATTAAAATAGAAAATAACTAATACTGCAATGCTAAACAGGGAGTAACTGGAAGACTTGATAAAAAAATTAAAATGTTGTTTGTTACTTAAACGTATGTAAAAAATTGTGAAAATTATAAAATTAAGAGGACGTTTCACCGACATTTGTTGTCTTACAAGTGTATAACATAGCAAATTGTATGCTCGGCAAAAATGTTTAGCTTCGTTAGTTTAAAAATTAGAGTGAAATGACCTCTCGTAAAATTTTAAGGTAAGATTATTATCTAGTGGTCTTTAAAATTAAAATATGATATGATGATCATATGCCCATGAGATAGCCTAGATAATAATTTTACGAGAGGTCAATTTACTCTAATTTTTAAAATAATGAATCTAAACGTGTTTGCCGAGCTTACAATTTGCTATGTTACGCACTTGTAAGCTGAAGACAACAAATTTCGGTGTAACATCCTCTTAGTAAATAATTAAAGTAATATACTCATGTCAGGAAATTCTCAAAAATAAACTACTTGACTTGGATAAATATTTTACCATCTAAATTTGAATCAAATTTTAAGGTTTCATTTTCTGTATTAAAAAATAAAAAAAAAAAATTGTTTCTTATTGTATGTGTAACGCAAGTGACTTTAAATTATATGCCTAAAAAAAAAAATTAAAAATATTGATTAGAACATAGCCATTTCATCTGGCAGGTTTTCCTATTACACGACTGTATAGTAAAATACTGTCAAAATTAAATTTGTCAAACAATTTTATCAGACAAGCAAGAATATTTATTAACAACTATGTACAAGTACACTTTAGGGGAAATTTGGATTATTTAAAACGTATTATATATTTATTGTATATAAAATTCCGAGTCAAAAAATGTGTAATACAATATTTAATATGTGATTTAAATATATATAAAATTTTTAATAATACTAGTGAAATTCGCAGATGATTCCAAATCTGTTATGATAGGTAAAATGCATTGATAAAATATTGCCGAAAAACATTGTAGCATATTAAAAAAAGATTAATCCAACATAATAATATCTTTAAATTATTTGCTCAAATGTATTATTATAAATTGCCTAAACACCAACAATACTTATTTTGTTAAATGTTGTATTGTATATTAAAATGATTTTATGTAACAACTGTTATTTTGTTTAGGATGTTTAGAATGAATATGTTTTTGGATATTATCCGTAGAGACGGAATCATAAATCACTACTCGCAACATCATCATCCGATATATGAATTGGACGATGTGGACCATAATCAAAATGGTATGGATCCATTTGTACAGGAAGTGTCTCAAAATTATCCATTGACTACTTTACAAAGACCAATCCCTGGTATTTAATATTTATTATAATTTTATTAAGAGAACGCTATCCCCGTGTGTTAGCTTTCTCCGGCAAATGTACAACATACCAAAATGTACATTTACAATATTCCATTTTAATCTATTATTTTAGATTCTGAGCAGAGCGATGAATGTATTGATTTTACAATGATGTTTTTAGGACAGTAAAAGTACTTGGATTTTCTTTAACAGTATATTTTCTGATAGAACAGTGAATCTAGTTGGTACTTTGGGGAGTCAAAAGTAAAAATTTTCCAGTGGTTTTCAAAAGCGACTTGAAAAACAAAAATAAAGTTAAGGAAAAGCAGAAAGTTTTACGCAAACTCAATTTTTGACAAAATCGATTTTGATTTTTGGTGTAACTCTAAAACAAATGACCGTAGATAAATGAAATTTTGACTAAAAATATTTTGACTTATTTTGAGCTGTTTACTGGCATTTTCAGTTGCCAATTTTGTATTCTACAAATATCAATAAAATTTTATTTGTTGATTAAAAAAGCTTGAAAATTTAAGAGATGGCTCCTAATATATAGTTTCAAAGACAGATAAAAATATTAAAAATCCATTGTCACAATTTTTTTTATACGCTTTTAAAGTTCAAATATTGAGAAAATACGTTAAAGTCACGAAAATGTGCAAATTATACTGAGTTAGAAATTCATAAAAAATTTTCTATTTAAATCTAAGATTTGAAAATGTAATACAAGATTTCTTATAAGTTTATTTACCTTTATCAAAAAAAAAATGTCTGCAAGCAAATCAAATTAAATTTTTTTTTTATATTTTTACAACATTGGGTATTCACTCGATTTCTCATATAGCGATTTTGTTATTTTGTTGTAATTCAAAAACTAATAACTGTAGATACATGGAAATTTCACTGAATGTTTATATTTTCATTTTCTATACATCATTAAATTTTAAAAATATATTGCCTTTTTTTTTAGCTGTTTACGGACATTGTCAGTTTTTAATTTTTTTAATTTATTTTTGTTATAATTGTCAATGCAAGGGCTTATATATTTTGCTACAATATCAGTTGAAAAATATTAAAAATAAATTGCCATAGTTTTTTTTTATAAGCATTTAAAGTTCAATAATTATTTTGTAGTTAAAAATGTATAAAATGTTCAACTTTTATATCTAATGATTGAACATTTAAAACAAAGTTCCAGGTAAATAGGTTTTATATAAATTACTTTATTCGCAATCATATCATCAAATATACTTAGTAGTATCATATATTCATTCTGACCGTCTTCGCTCAGAATTGTTTTTCTTATATAATTATGTTATATCATTGAATTCAAATTTAACACTATCCATTACAGTGAGCTACTTGTAACCTACTGTACAGCAGAGCAACACTCACTTGTCCACCTGTTTTAAATTCGTGTGAATTGATGTATTATAAAATTTAAAAGTAAGATTATTATCTAGGGCATCTTAGAGGTTTTTATTAATATTTTAATCTAGAAGCAAGTTATAATCATTTTAAATTGTACAAAAAAATTAGTTTTAAAATACTCATAATTTGTTTTTTTAATTAAAATGTCAATAAAAGCCCCAGAGGTGCCATGCGATTCACCTTTAAATTTTAAAAATAACAGTAAAATGGATTATTGTGAATGTAAAATTTGCTATATTGTTTGTTTGTAAGACAGAGTACATACACAGGTGTGGCGTCCTCTCAATTTATATATTTTAACATAACCTTTCATTTTCAGGTCAAGCAACGAGAATAAGAGTGTATATTGATAATGCGTGGGCTGTACCACTACCTGATACGACTGGCCGTTTTAGAGATTGTAGCTCAGCTTTCTACCGGTAAAATTAAAAATTTGACTTTTTATTAGAAATATTATATGAAAACTTGTTAAAATCTAAATATTTTTTTTAAGTTATTATTTTTCAAACTAATAAGTTTTTTTAAAAAATTGAGATTTTAAAAATCATAATAAATAAAGCACTTTACTTAGATAAATGTATTTGCAATCAAAAGATTTCTAAAAACACGATTTACAAATTGGATTTGGTTTTGGATTTTCTCAAAAAAAAAAAAAATTACATTTGTAGTGCAAAAGTTAATAAACTATATATGAAAGAAATTAAAAATAAAAAACTCAACTATCACAAAAGTTATTTATTTAATTTGTCATGGTTTTGTTACACTGTACAGTGTACAATCCTATACTCTATTCGCTGTAAGTTGACCCACTAGCTCGACGAAAACCGGTCGTAGCTGCGCAGGCCACTGCGTCTTCAGAACGCTAGTGTTGATCGTCGCCACCGCACCTGGTGTATACGTAGTGATTTGATTATCTTAACGACGTATCGACACTATCTCCTAACCTACTGTTAACGATAATTTTTATATTCTGTTTACAATTATTTTTTATTCTGTTTACAATTATTTTTTATCCGAATTTTTATTTATTCATCAATATAATTCGCTATGGATAGCAGTGATGATTTTGTATAACATTCTGTATGCACGGTGGCAGCCGACTACTACGACGAGCACCGCCGATTGCCGAACACCACTGACCAATCACAAACCACCTGTCTCCGAATTGGGGGGTCTGAACGTTCTGGCGGCTCAGTAAGCATGCGTGCAAGTGGGTCAACTTACGGCGAATAGAGTATATATATCATAAATCTCAAAATTTAATTTTCAAAGAAGTATTCAAGACACTCAATTATATCCAACTTCATAATCATCTCTTAATCAATTATTATATAGTTTAATACATATTAAAAATGTGAACTAAGGTTTAACAATTTAACCATTTCTGATAGAAAAAAAATTAATTTTTATTTGATTATAAATTACCTATAGGGTACTGTAGCGATTTATTTGCAACCCTAATGAAATTAGTGGGGTAGCAACAGGGGTTAAAGTGGGAAAAAATTCCAGAGACGGACTAATGTGTTCCATATAATATAATTGTATGTATTTTGTCTAATGTATAAAATCCTAATTTGTTTACGGGCACGCTTTCTAACTGCCGTCAGAGGTATTGAGACTGATTCCTCCTGTGTCTCTCCCCCCCCCCACTTTAACCCCTGGGTAGCGATTGTTACCGTAACAACACTATAGGCACAGATTACTGAACAAACAAAAAATTTGTATATAAATATTAAATAAAATAATAATACAAGTATAAAACACACATATGATATACATAAGCATAAAGAATTGCAGCTGTATAATCTCAAAACACAGTAACACAGTTTTTCATTATTTGCAGGATAATTCATTTAGTAAGTTACCAAAGGTTATGTAAAAAAGTTACTTTTGATAAGAGTGTTGGTTACTGTGTTTTTGCATTGTACAGCTGATTGGTATACAGGGTGATTTTTTTATCGAAGAACACTCATTATTTCAAAAAGTATTAATGTTTAAGAAAATATTTTTTTACATAGTTTCAAGTTGTTAAAAAACAATATTTTTATTAAAAAATTATATTTTTAAATATTTGTTATCCTTTTAATTTTTTAAGTTTTTTACTTTTTTGAATGACAACATCTAATTTTAATTTGATATTCAAAAACAGAATATTTTTCTGAGTATTTCGATACATAAAAATTGAATTTAGGGCAATTAGTTTATGAGTTATAAGTATTTAAAGTTTAGATGAGCGGAGTAGAGTGGTACGGGGTTACCCCGCGAAATGTTTGTCCACTACTCCGCTCATCTAAACTTTAAATACTTATAACTCATAAACTACTTGCCCTAAATTCAATTTTTATGTATTAAAATAATCAGAAAAATATTCTGTTTTTGAATATCAAATTAAAATTAGATGTTGTCATTCAAAAAAGTAAAAAACTTAAAAAATTAAAAGGATAAAAAATATTTATAAATATAATTTTTTAATAAAAAATATTGTTTTTTAACAACTTGAAACTATGTAAAAAAATATTTTCTTAAACATTAATACTTTTTGAAATAATGAGTGTTCTTCGATAAAAAAATCACCCTGTATAATGTTTTGAGTATACACTATATATTCCAAAAATGTTCTTACTGCACTTATTCAAAAAACATAACTTTGTTGCTTACTCCATAGTTCTCAATAATGTGTCATTAGAAAAAAAACACACAAGAATAATCATCCACGTATTATGTGAAAAATAAATCTATTACTATCCACTTAAAATATTTTCAGCAGGTGATCTATTTACACATTAGTTGTATTTATGATTCCATTAACTACATTGTTCTCGAGTGGTGTGTCAAATCACAGATAATCTCAAAATTTAAAAAGAAAAAATACAATTTAAAACAGAATAAAACAATATGCTCATTGCCACCATTCACTGTATACTTACGCATGTCTTACGCATTATAATTCAAATCCATAATTTGTTCTTGATAAATATATATATATATATTAGTAGTTGAACGTCTCTATATGATCTTGCATGATTCTATAAATATTTTTGTTCCTAAAAGACGTATATATAATAATACTTACCCAATTTGGTATTCAAATTCTCTGAAATTGCTTTTAAAAGAGAAAAAAAATCTGTCACCTCGTCTATAAGCAATTCAATAATATCTCTGACTATACTGTGTGTTCACCAATTTAGGGAACACTGGATTATGTTGGAATAAATCGAATTTTTTTTTACAAGCTTGTGGTAGTGAACACACGGTATTACTTTTTCACATTTAAGAGTTAAATGTAAAAGGCTCGCTAAGTCTGATTATAAAAATTATATAAATAATGTTCAACTTTCTATTAAAAAATAATCCAAAATATTTTTGGTCTTTTATTAAAAATGTTACCAATAATAATGCGCTTCCTAAATCATTATCTTTAGATACAACGGTCATTAATAATGGTACCGATATTGTTAATGTTTTTGCTAAATATTTTTCAGATTCCTATTCTAATATACAACAGCCACCTAATTCTTCTTTTTTAAATATTAATAAAATTTATTTAAATTCCGATATAAACATAAATTCTATCTCTTTCACCGAGTTAGATGTCCTTAATTTAATCTCTAATATCAAACTTAACTCTAATGTAGGCCCGGATGGTTTACCCTCTATATTTCTCTATAACTGTAGATTTATCTTAACTCCAGTATTAACAAATATCTTTAAGTTATCTCTCAAAAAAGGTTTATTCCCATCAATTTGGAAAACTTCATTTATTTCTCCAATTTTAAAAAAAGGTGACCCTTTGTTAATTTTGAATTATCGCCCTATCTCTAAGATATCTATTATACCGAAATTATTTTCACACTTAATCTCCTCAAAATTATCAAGCTACTGCTCTTCCTTACTATCAAATCATCAATATGGATTTATTCCCAAGCGATTTTCATGTAATAATTTAGCTGTGGTGAAAAATATAATCCTTAATTCTTTTGAATTAAATGTGCAAACTGATATTATTTATACTGATTTCTCTAAGGTATTTGACCAGGTCAAGCATGCAATTCTTATTAGAAAATTACAAATATTTCTTTTTTCAGGTTCTCTACTAAAATGGTTTCGATCATTCCTATTCGGACGCTACTAAATTGTTAAACATCTAAATTTTACCTCTACACAGTTTAATATACCTTCTGGCGTTCCTCAAGGTGACCACTTATTAACTCTTTCTTTTTAATATATTTATTAATGATCTTCCTAATGTCATCACTAATTCTAATAAACTTCTATTTGCCGATGATGCAAAATTAGTAAAAATTATTAAATCAGAACAAGCAAGACGCTCTTAGTTTGCAATTAGACATTAATAACCTTATTTTGTGGTGTAATGAGAATAATCTATTTTTAAATATACAAAATTGTAAATTTATGAAATTTTACCAGATTAAAAATCCCATTAACTCTCAATACTCAATTTCTGGCACAAATATCGAGCTTGTTAATCAATAATTTACAGATTTGGGTATAATTTTTGATCGTAAATTAAATTTTTCTCTACATACTGAAATGATTAAAAATAAAGCTTTTCGCAACTTAGGGTTCATTAAACGCACTTGTGCTGCATTTTCAGATCCTATTCCCTACATAAAAATCCTCTACATCTCTCTTGTCCGTTCTAATCTAGAGTATTTCCCCCTCATCTAGATTTACTTTCCCATCAGAAAAGATGCTGAAGTTGAAAATCAAAAAAATATTTAATATTTATACTAGAAAAAATAAACATTGTAAAATCATTACATTCATTGCTCCGGTTAGAATCCAAAACATGACATTTTATTTGTATCAACAATTTGTAGGTTACAATAATATCTGCTAAAGATAAGTTTCTTTAAATACCTTAAAATGTTCTATGTATAAAATGCATGCATAAATTGCAATGCATGATTTCTTTGTATTAATACTATTTTTCCTAATATTTATGTTCTTGTTTAAAATATGACTTTTATAGCTTCTATGAAACTATTCTACTTTTGATCGTCTTATCTTTTTTTTATAGTCTTTGTTAACAACAAAAATCAAGAATAGTTTTAATATTAAAAATAAAATTTCAATAATTATATCATAAAAAAAATTTGATTTTTAATGCATTTTTAGATATTTTTGAAAAATGAGTGCATTGAATTTCAGTCCTGCTCATGTTATTATAATACCACCTTATAAATATAAAAGATACATGGGCACAAATTTTTTTATAAGCATTTAAACTTTAAAGTTCAAATTTTGACAAAATTTACAAGTCACGAAAATTTACTAATTATTTTGTAGTTATAAATGTATAAAATGTTCAATTTTTTATAGCCAAGGATTGAGAATTTTAAAAACAAAGTGTCTTAAGTAGTTCATAGTGTAACCAAAAAATCTAAAAATATATATATACACACAGTTTCTCTTATTGATATTCAAATTTGGTCAAAATTAAATAGGTATTTAAACAAAAATTAACAATTTTATTTATTTTAATTCAAAAACATTCATGGGAACTTAGGAGGATGCCACACTCGCATATGTTGTCTCCGTCTTACAAATGTTCAACATAGGAAAAACTATTCTGGGAGGGACAACTTTTATCTTTCTGTGTTTGTAGTAGTGCCTCCAAAATTTCTGAACATATAGGGTGGAAAATTGTCTATGCAATAGTGTGTCCATATTTTAGATAACATAAATACAATAAAAGTGATCTGCTTCTAAACATTTTGTTGCACGGATAAAGTTCTTCTTTACGTGTTGTGAAAATTTGGTAGTTCTTCAACAAATATGGTGCGAGAAAAGTTGTCCCGTTCAAAACAGTTTTTGTTATGTTGTAAATTTGTAAGACGGAGACAACGCATGCGGGTGTGACATCCTCTTAAAACTTTTACATAATATATTATAAATTTTACGATACACAATATTTCCATTAGATTCATTTTTAGCTATTACCTATTCACACTGTTCTACGGTAAGGTGGTATTGACTTTAAAGTTAATAACAATAATGTAATTTGATTGAAATTAATAATTATTCTATAAGAATAATTAATGTAATTCATTTTCAGAAATTTAATCAACTTCCCTTAATATTAATAGTAAAATAAGTTACTTTAATATCACTTTCAAAAGTATATCATGAAATATACTTGGTAGAATATATATCAATCTTGGGTGACATAACATCTACGCTCAGAATTGTTTTTTCTTGTACAATGATATATCATTAAATTCAAATTTAACACCTCAATTTATTACAGTGACCCACTTGTGACACCTCTTGTACAGCGAAGCATGGAAAATGTAAATTCAGCCCTCGATTACCTTTTTAGTTGGAACATTTTTACCGATAAAACTTATTAAAGACAACACAACTTAATCTGAAAATAACAAATAACACATTTTAATTCAACTTACCCTAATATAGAAAATATAGATATCAGAAAGAGTCCTCAAAAAATTTAAAAAAACATATTGCATACGAGCCTGCAATGAATTACCACATTTTATGTCTTTGCTGTCCTTGCTATAAAATGTAGCACATACCTAGGTAATATTTATAGGGTAATTGATAAAAAATAAAGACACACTGCTATTGGTATACAATTTTTTTTTATTTTATTATATTATATTTATAAATTTTTTATTTTCGTATATTAATAAAAATTAGTTTTCATTATCATTTACATTATCGCTTGATGTAATACTCAGCAGTGTTCGATGATGACTAAAGTAGGATACGTAAGCGAGCATGTCCATGTCCGACTTTTGCGACATTTGCTATATGCTCAAATGGTCGAAGTATCAAACACATCAAGCGTCGGTACAGTCGCACCTGACTATCGTGTGATAAGCGCTTATATCGAGTTAGAATCTCGGATGAGAGAAATTATATTTTGCAATTTGTTTCGTAACGCTTTAGTAACATAACGTTTTTCGATTCTATGTGCCAAAGCAAAGACATACCAAAAAGTTTTAAATAGGCCCGTCAATTAAAAATGTTGTCTAGTTAGTTCACTTCTGTGATTTTTGTTTTTGGTTTTATCAATATTCAATAGTTAACCTGCAACAAAAATAATAAATAAGTTTGAAAAAAATAAATAGTTGTTACAAATCCTAGTTTAAAATGTAGTATAATAACTAATAAGTAATAACATATTTAACAGATCAGTTAGGTTTAGTATATTAATTAATTGTGCCTGAATGGCTGACGGCATAATTATTATAATGGACATTAAAATTATGTTTGACGCCTAGGCGTCAAATACCCCGGATCCAGAGTACTAACCTAGTACTGACCCATCACCACATAAAAAAAAAATAATATAGGTATATAAATTATATAGGATAATTTTTATTATTAAGATTTATTTCATTAATTTAATGATTAATGATAATATAGTTTATAAGTACTCCTTTAGAGTAAGATAGCGACCCACTATATCTCATTGTCTAACCCATCGTTTCCTAAATTGTGGTCCGTAGACCCCTAAGGGCCGATTTCACCAACACAGTTAATCGGCCGAATTTGGCCGGTTAAATATCTGTTATCAGCCGATTAAGCGTTAACCGTAATTAACTGTGTTGGTGAAATCGGCCCTAAGTCATCCAGCCATTTGGCCAGTGTCTAATCTAGTACTTATTCATTTTGCCTCTCCCTAAAAACTTTTTTTGTTTATAATTTTTGTTTGACACAATGCATATTTTTATTTCTTCAGTGATAATCCAGCACAAACATACAGATTGCATGCATTCATCCTTCGTGATCTGGTTGCCGTGAGGGAATCTATAAGATTAGTTGGTCAGTCAATGCCTTTCCCAGTGACGTCTGATGTTACTGTGACAAACTTGATAATGCGGTCACTTGCGGCATATGAAATAAGACAGTTACATTTAGTCAACGTCATAAGGCCTTTTCTAGATTTGCGTGCAGTACATTTTTGCCATGAACTTTACAACTTTGCTCATAGTCCATACGACATTGGGGGCTATGATCAAAATGTTCAATATACTTATCCGCCGCATGATGATGAATTAACTGTAAAATAAACAAAATATTGCAAATTATGAGGTATTGCTAATATAAGTATATGTATATTTTTAGAGGCCATATTATACAGAATTATTTCCACCAGCCCAACCAATCCATATTGTTGGTGAAACTATTGTATTGGATTCAGATAATGAAGAAGTTATAAGGCCACGTATAATGGACGTTATCGAAGTTAGTTCTAGCGCTGATGACTCTGATGTTGAATTTTTAAGTCACTCCTTCCGTTCTATCGATCCAATTAATACTGCCTCTATAGACCAACCTTCTACGTCTACTGGAATTCGAGATTCATTAGATCGACCAAACAATAGGTAAGAAAATAAAATTATTGTTTCTACTATTTTGTATATATTATTTTAAATATAAAGTTGTATAATTGTATTATTTTTTTTCAATTAAATAGATATAATTTAAGGAGACGAAGAATATTCTCACCAACTGTAAATGGTTCTCCTAGTTTTCCTGTATGTAGTGATTTTTCTCGAATTTCATATCCATCTCAAGTAAGAAGAGGGAGGCCCATTCTAGATTCTTCATCAGATGATGAAGAATCAATAACTGCTACTCGAAGTTCTCAAACTGCTCTTATAAAATCTCAAAATGTTAATGACAAAAGGAAAAAAAAAACAAAAAGAAATAAAAAGAAAAAAAGGAAAATAAACACCAATGATTCACGGTCTGAAACCCGCAGTACCAACAGAAATCGTTCATATTCAGGATCATCTTCATCTACGGGAGAAACAGATATAAGACCAATTAACAGTCGTATTATAAGGATATAGTTCTATGAACTTGTAAAATATAAACCTCTAAAATATTTTGTATTCGTCTGACTCAGGACCTAATAAGAGATCAACACAATGCCTGAAGCTTTTTGATTGTCACTTCCCATACAAATCAGTTACTTATTTAAATCTGTTTTCATTTCATTAAATAAAATTGTAACACTAAAGATTATGAGCAAAAGTGATAAAATTAATTATTATTTAAATTTATTTAAATAACTTAACTAAAATGTTGTAAGTTTATATATTATTTATTGTTATAATTTATAATATATGCATTATTTTATCACAATAGAAATTATAATTTTCAATCTAAGTAAACCAGGAATAGACAATTTATGATTTAATTTTTTTTAACTAAATAATTTATGTTCCAATTTGTATGTTTGATGCCTTGAAATAAAAATAAATGTATGATAATCTTAAATCTTAATAAATTATGTATAAAATAGATTTAATCAAGTATTTTATAAGATAATATAAGACCATTTTCTTTATTCAAAATACTTTATTTATATATTTTCTATTCAAAGATATTTTTATCTTATTTGCTTTTTTATCATTACAAAAATCAGTGTAAAACCACATTAGTTGTAGGTATACAATCATTAGAATTTCAATTTTGTAGACAAAGGCCGACGGACTGTTTCTGAAGCATTTTTCATTGTATACAATAATTTTTCATTGAATTCTAATTTATATGCATTGTACATCACAATGACTGCACTTTCAACACAATACTCGTATATAGCAGAGCAACTTCCCCTGTTTTTGTTGATAAATTTGCATAGCTTAGTCAAAAATCTTGAAAATCTAATACAAGGTTAACCCACATTTTTCTTACAGGAAATAAGGGTTTTTATTAATCGGAAAAATTCAGGCAATATCTACAGTATATAATCTTGTCGCCGCGGACATAAGGTCACTTATTACATGCCTCTAAGGTTGGAAACTGGCATTTACAGTGGATATTTATCAGGAATTCTCAAGACGTATAGTTGATACAACTTTAATATATTTTTTTAAAGTTTTCCTTAGAACTAACAACTGTCGTAAATCTGTTAATGGACCACAACAGACAGCAGATTTTACATTATGATTAACAAGTATGCTTTCATGCCTAATATTTAATACCTAGATGGCTAGATACACAGACAACCGAAATACTTATTTAGTTATCATAATACATGTGTATCATAATATTAATGTATATAATAATGTAAAAACTATGAATCAAGATTTAGCTGTACAAGTATACGACTGTTAAGAGGACCTAACCTCATGTGTTATCTTCGACTTACAAGTATGTAACGTAACAAATGGTACGTTCAGTAGAACACTTTTAGCTCCGTTAGTTTAAAAATTAGAGTGAATTGATCTCTTATAAAATCTAAAAGTAAAATTATTATTATCTAGTCTATCTAGTGGGCTTTTATATTATTTTTATTTTAAAGCGAGTTATGAGTATTTTAAGATGTACAAACAGTTTTAAAATACTCATAACTACTAACTTGGTATATATTATTTTAATATTGTTTTCCACAAATAATAATTTCTAAGTACCTATCTTGTAGAATCCCGACTTCTTAAAGATTTTTTTAAGATTAAAATAAATTAATAATCAGAATAACTTGAAAGAATACACCTCGTACTAAAATCATTATTTTTTAGACAATGAATTTTTTAAAAAATTTGGACTGATTTTAAGCAGTGCTCGAAATGGACCGGAACGGCGTTCCGGTTCGTAATATAAACTTTTCGTCCGTTCCGGTTGGTTAAAATTAAAATTTAAGAGTTCCGGTTCGTAAAAATCGACCGTATCACAATCTAGAGGATTATAATTATAAAATTTCCTTTCGACGAAATATAATATACTTAATATAGAGAGAAGTTCAATTTGTATAGAAGTCCAAGAGGCTTCACCTGACATCACGCGTGTCGTTTCTTCGTATTATCACAATTCGCAATAAAAATGTAAACGATTTAATGATCGAAAAGTACCCACAGTTGTACGCTACAATTAAAGCCGTGATTTTGAAGGCCTATTTCCGGTAATTGTGAAGTCGAAAATATTACATTTAATAAAATACATCACTATTATGTCGGCGTGTCACCACTCAATTAAATAAGGAAAATGATATTGTTCGGGGTTTTCAAATATTATATAATTGGAAGGAGGAAAAGAAGGTGTTCCGGAAGACTTACAAATACTTTTTAAAACCATAGGTAGCTGCTATTCCTACGTACATGTGAGTGTGAGCGAAATTTCTGCTCGATGAATGAAATTATCTCAGATCTTCATTAAATATTAGTACAGTCTCTGCACTTTTATTTGTTAATTGTGTTGGCCCTCAACTCACTGAATTCGTCCTGAAAAACCAGTCATGGTTAGTCAAAGGTATAGACATTCTGCTGATGACACTGCAAGTCGCAAACGTGAAAAAAAACTGACGAAAAAGATTCAGCATTATGGAAACTATTATAAACTATGTGTTAAATTTGAATTGTACCTATAACTACATTTTTTAAGCTTAAAATTACTCATATTATTTGTATCTGTTTAACTAATTATATTGTATTGTACAGAAAACACGAATTAAAATAATAAAAAAAAAAAATTATAATCCGCATATTAATTTTATGAGCGTTCCGGTACGTACAATTTTCCATTTCGAGCACTGATTTTAAGCTAGATATTTATAGACTTATAAGTTATAGGCATTAGAAATTAATAAAGGTTGGTATAATTATTATAAACTACTAGTTGATCCAGTGCAGTTCGTTTCCCGTTAAATTTACCAACTCTGTATGAGTGTATGACTCAAACTTTGTTCAATTCGTTATTTAATATTCGGTGCATGCAAGCCCGGTTAAAGGGGGGGGCATGGTGCCGGGGCCCATCTTTTATCCAAAATTATATTTTTTTAAACGCATCCACCTACTGTTTTTCAAAAAAAAAAAAATGATTTAAGTAGGTAGGTGAATAATTATTAATAATCATAAAATAAAATTGTTCTCAATTTTATATCACGAAAAATTACTATAAATAATGAACTATGTTTGCAAACAATTTTTTTTTTTTTTTTGAGCATTTTAGATTATCGATTTAACTATTTAAGTATATAAAAAGCTAGGTAGTTATAAAAAGAAATTATTTAGCTCTTGTAAATTAGGTATTTCACTTAAAAGTATTAATGTATATTATACTTTAGAGGACCATATTATATAATATAGTTAATAACCTGGTTTTTGATCATTTTACTGTCAAAATGTTCGGAAAAAAAAGTTTTATCAGAATCCATCAAAAAATATAGTGGTTACCATTTGAAAAAATAAAGTCGATTTTGTTAATGGTACAATTGTACAACTATGCGTGTTTAACAATTTTTAAAATGTTATTAGAAATAAGAAACATATAAAATAAGAAACATTATGTATTTTTTTGGTTTTAACGAAATTCCATATCATCGATCCATAATTGTTTAAAAAAAAAAAAACCCGAATACAATGATATAAAATACACCCTGTATATTTTTTGTATAGGAAAAAATTTTACAATAATATAAAGTCGTTAATATGTAAAGATACATTTATTTTGAAGTTAAAGTTGAAAGGGGGCCCACTCAGTGTATGGTGTCCCGGGGCCCAATTGATCTCCTTATTCCGGGCTTGGGTGTATGCGTATGGTGTTCACAGGGGCGTGCCTATAAATGTCAACCCCCCTAGGCACGCCACTGAGTTTCAAATTTTATCTTAACATTTCTGTTGCCCGGAATAAAAATTCGGATTCGCAGCAGTATATTATCAGGTAGGCCATCTACCTTCGGTATATCGCTGACCCCGTGCTGTTTGTACGTGTATAAGTGTATGATTTTACTCGGAAATGGGGAATTAAGTAAAAACGACAAACTTGGTATAACTTTGATACTTTAGAGCAATAGCAACCAATATGGCAATATAATATAAATATATAATACACTATTATTATTTTAATCCGCAACAATAAACTAGATTTTTATTTTGTTATTTAGTTGTTTTTTTCTGGACAGATGGCGCCACTATTGTACTTTTGACATTCAGATTTCCTACTTTTCCGGTGGATTTTCCTAAAATTATCTTTCATAAGAACCTTGTCCTGACAATTATTACGAACACAACAAAAAAAGAATCGGCCAAATCGGCCCAGCCGGTTCTCAGTTGATGATGTAACACGTCCATTTATATATATATAGATAATAGTCAATATAGGTAATACACTTTAACACTTATAGGTACCACTTGTGTTCTAGGCGCCCCATAAGTACTGATGTTCGTGTCAAAACTTAACTTGACCTAATATTACGTAATTATTAAAGTGTAGGTAGGTACTTATTTACGTATTACTACTGTTAAGATAAAAAAGAGGACCGTGAAGTTAGCCAGAGCCAGAGACTAAAAGCACTAATTACCGCTACACCACCAGGTTTTAGTGTTCAATCAGTGCTTTCAGGATAGGTAAATGAAAATAAAAATTAGTGCTCCAACCTACCATCGATTATCCACGATTATAAAAACGTCCAGCTAACTTCACGCTGCGGGAACATGAAAAACACTAATTCCCGTTATACTATACCAAATTTTAGTTTTAAATTAGTGCTTTTAGAATATACAAAAATTAAAATAAGTGCTACCTCCAAATCGAAGTTTTCGCTATCTCTTTCTTTCCATATTTCGGGATCATGAAAAGTACATGTATTTTATAAATGTTATTAAAAGTTGGTGATTTTAATTTTAATTTACCATGTGGCGTCTGACAACCAATGGTCAAAACTCAAATTCAGTCATAAATAATTATGAGTCATAATTCATGAAACTATAAGATGTACAGATATTTATAAAAGGCGTTTGACACGCTTACGTAAAATTATAATATAATCTTACAAGTACTTTTTTTAAATAATTTACATGCGTTAATATGCAAAAAAATACGTTTTGGTAGAAAACGTAGAGAAGAAGAC